TAAATCACACAATCTACTGCGTTACCTTCTTCTTAATAGCTAATGATAAACACCTGTACTGCCAATGCAGAGAAAAACAGCACTGATCAAAGTATAGATATCAGCTTTAAGTGTTTATTTGGAGCCAAGACCTGCCAAGAATAACTTGGCAGATATTTGCTGGTTCAGGTACTGAGGGCTAATACAAAAACACAACCATAAAATAACAGACACACCTCTGTGCAGAAACATGCCCTTCTGTGGAACTGAGCAGACCCTATTTTGTTAGACCTTCATCCTTCTTGCCCGCTACAAACTTAAATTCAATATCAAACCAAGAGATCTACAAAAATTTATCTCAGAACAATGCTCCAGCAGTCCAATGGTAATAAAGAAACGTGAAGATGAAAACAACCCTCGATTAAAAGTAAAGACACGTGTGACGAGTAACTAGACAATTAAAACGTTACTAGGCCTTAAACTAATTATTGTTGTTTTTTTTGTAATGTACACCACAAGTTAACAGTTGTTTCTCTGTTGTTTTATGTTATGTTACAATGAAACATGCAACTACAGCAACCCCTGCCTTCTTTCTGTGAGAGGAAGTTTTTACCCTTTAAAGCCGGTCGGAGCGGGCACACTCCGTTTTGCGTAACTATTTTTAAATCCCGGTAGCACTGCAACCACATAAGCTAGCGCAATAATTTTTTTTGCATATGAAACCAGAGGAGTTGTACTTACATCTCATGCCATCAGCTTGTCCTAGGTCACGGTTTCCTTCCACATATGGCTTTGCAAAAATTGCATAAAAAGCACTTGCAGCAACAAAAACATAATATTCCAGAAACACACTTTGCTGATCCGATCAGCTGTTCGTAACTCTTCCTACATTGGAATAGACGTCAGCGCGAACTATCGCATGTCCGCCATGACCTGCCCGAAACTAGAAGTGACGTCATGACACGGAAATGTAGTTGTTTACCTTCAGGGCCTATATAAGCATACTGGTGTCTTTAAAGGTTATGTTTGACTTTATGACTTATGCTTAGGACTCAAATTGCACTGCTGGAAATAGCATATGCAGAAAAATAAACTGTTTTTTTGCAAATTTGATTATAATATTTATTTTCATTTTTCCTGCAGTATATAAAAATTGGTGTATTTCAATAATAAAACTATGAAGACTCTCAAAATAAATTTCCTGTGGTGGGAAACTATTTTGTGCAACTTTTTTGTATTTACAGTTTTGAGGGATAAACCTCTTAAATTTCTCTAACTAGAAACATATGTTAAAAAAGCAAAAACGATTTTCAATTTTTTTGTAGTTTATTGCACTTTTTTGCAATTTATGTAATTACTATGCACTTAATGCATACATATTATTAAAATTTGGGCTATAATGGTTGTATTTATGTATAGCAACTTGAAATGCTCCCAAAAATGGCACTACAGCATGTAAAAATATAATACAAGCTCTGGCGGACTTGGTTCTATGGTAGGTCTTAAAGGGTTAAATAAGCAAGGTGGAAAGAAAGCAGATGATAGCTGTGCAAACCAGTGTTGTTCTGCAGCACTTTGATGTAGATAAGTGTGTCGGCTTTGTCAGAGTAAACTGATACAGTATATATCCACTCAGCTGTAGCCATGTTCTGTACATTCTGATAGACTGTTCATACTAATCTAACACTGCACGAGTGCAAAGCTATGCAAAGCATTTAAAAAGTGATTCTATTAAAGGAAAATGTAATTAAAATGTAATGCTATATTTGTATGGATAATGTTTAAATTCATGCATTAAGTAGCCCTCGTAAATAGTTCTCCAGTCTTGGAGGACATTCAAAGCTCCTTTTTGGATGCTGGCTGCCTTTTGTTCTGTCCTCTGTCCAGATGATCTCACACTGCTTTAATAATGTTGAGGTCCGAGCTCTGGAGAGGCGAATCCATGACTGATGATGTTACATTGTGTGTTTTTCTACACAGTTATGCTTTTACTGCACTGGCAGTAAACAATAATTTCTAGATGGCACTGAATGGTGGATCAAAATCTGACAGTACTTTTCTACATTCACAACTATTGTTCTGACAAGGCCCCTAACATCACTGAGAAATGCAGCCCCAAACCATGACAAAGCCTCCATCACCACTGATTTTCAGGGCAATTCTTGTGTAATTTGGCATACCTCAGCCAGTTTCCCTTCGTTGAGAAAAGCTTCTTTACAGTCACCATTTCACTGAGACCATTTCTGATGAGGTTTCAGTAAAAAGTTCAATTCAATTCAATTTTATTTATACAGCGCCAAATCACAACAAAAGTGGCCTCAAGGCGCTTCATAGGCACAGAGAAAAACCCAACAATCATATGACCCCCTATGAGCAAGCAAAGCAGGGAACAACTGATGTATACCTGGTCCTATGTCAGATATTTGCTGGATTGTTTTCCTATTTCATGACTTTCAGATACTGATAATCTGCTGTAGATAGTTGTTTTTTTTAGGTCTTCCACTTCTCCGGTTTCTTTAATTTGCACACATTCTGAGATATGCCAAGTTTCCAGCCAACAGCCCTTTGGAAATCACCTTGTTGTTGCAAAAATACTATTTTATGCCCATAAAACTTTGGTTATCTTTGGCATTTTTCATAGATTCAACAAAAGAAATTGGAGCAAATTCTGTTTTTTGTGACAGGCTGTTAGTAGCAAAGTGCCAAAAGATACAGTTTAAAATTTGCTCTTTCCTAAGTTGTCGAGCTGTTATGTGAATACACAATACGGGTGACTCCACAAAGCTAGATGCATTTTTATGTTTAATATTTTGTTTTTTTATGTATGATTCATAGTTCAGTGTTAAGTTGCTTAAGAAAGGGGGAAAAACTCCTCTGAAAATGGTCAGGGCTGAACTGAAATGAGTGGACAAGCAGCCAATGTCCAATGAAAAACTGCAATGTATGCAACTGGCCCTGCATTGGCCACCAGCACTCCGATGTTGGAAAAGGACAACAGGAAACCAAAGATCTCTTTACATGATCACTTGATCTGAAACTGAGACAAAACTAGATCGTAGTGTGGCATATGCTGAAGCAGTGGTGACACACTCACTGAAGGTTCATGCTAGGCCAAGTCAGGCTGTTGTAACGTGTCATCTGACAGTTAAAGGAAGAACTGTTCACGTATGAATACAGGTGTACCCTGAACTTTAAGGTGGAACTTATTATCGAGGATAGGTTAGATAAAGCACAGGATGCTTTCAGAAGGCTCAGCTCCATTTGGAAATCTAAACAGCTTACACAGAACACAAATCTAAGCCTCTACAACAGCGATGTGAAGTTCTACCAACCAATCAAGGTCTTCTGCAATGGGTGTCTTCACTGAATATGCAACATCTTCAGACCAAGAGTGTGCCCTGAGATGGACACAATCAGGAAGAGGAAGAAAGGCAGACCACAAACAACTAGAGCGGATGATGAAGGTCAAACATTTGCAGCTTTATGTCTCACATTTAGCAAAGAATGCTAGTAAGAGTAGTTTGGTATCCCTAAGAAACAAAATGTTCGAAAACCGTCAACGTACTCTAAAAAATATTGCTTTACTTCTGTCACCCTGCCAAAGCGTATCCATGTACAATTCTTGAGACTGACGAGCCTTTCAGTGAAAATCCTGGATGCGTGGAGACATGAAGAAAAGGCTCTGACTGTTGATTTTGAATTGCTGGATCAGAGTCTACACATTAACCGAAGCATGGAAAGCAAACCTCATATGCACAGCGTGGAAAACCACATACATAATTTTAGTCTGTAACAAATAAGATTAATGCGAGCTCTACTGGGGCGTGCACATTGCTGTGGTGTTCAATGCACAGCAGCCAAACCAGGCAGACCGCAGCGCAAGACCTCTGGGACTGGCACAGTGAGCCTCTGTGAAAGACAGGCCTCGTCTGTCACTCAGCAATGAGGCATCATCCACAGACCCCGGCAGGATGCATAGCATCAACTGTTATTATTATTAATAAATCCTAAGTATAAATGGAATCTGCAAAGGGATATGGGGATTTAAGATTATAAACATTAACTCAAAACATAAATGGAATGTGCGGACTGAACAAGAAAATGTGTTTTGATAGCTTATTTGGAGGTCAAATGGAATAAAGTATATAAACATTCCTCTAAAAATAAAATCCTACCCTTTTTGTGGTGGAAAAACATGAACGGAAAGTGACATTTATAGTGTGTTATGGTGAATCATTCAGAATAAGAGCAGCAGAAACCCCCTTTGAGAAAGAATAACAATGGGATGCTTCAGAACAAAATAAAGCAGATAAAAGCCAGCTAGCTCGTAACTGCTTTGGTCAGATAAGGACTAACAAGATCTGAATTGTGACACTGGATTTTCAGATAAAGAGCTGGCTACCCACAGTAGCTTCACCAAGTAATAACAACCACCTACCTAGCTGCTTCTATTCCCATATCATGGCACAAGCGTTTGATAGCTAATCTCTTAGCGCTGTTAGTGAGGCCTGGAAAGGGAACTGTGGGGGTTTGTGCAGATGCCTGGATAGATAATGTTCACAGGCTTGTCGTCACAAACAATCAAGACTGAACGTGTGTGTGGAAGCAAAGGGAGATAAAGATAACTTTAACTAAACTCGGGTTTTGGTTCATCACTTACAAAGTTGACCGAACTCCCACAGAAAAGCAGATAAAGAGAAACAGAGATTTGGTCCGTTTTATCTCTCTGATGCTGTCACCGTATGTTTTATCAGCCTTTGTGTCTACAATCCTCCTTGATCTCTGTTTGTGTTAGGCACCTTAAACATTAAGCCGAGTCGGCCCTCTGTGATGTTGGCATCTAAAGGCAGCAAAAGATGCTTCAGAGGAAGTAAATCCAATTTATGTATTCTACGGGGGTAATTCCACACCGAGAGGGAAAAAAACAAGACAAACAATCAACACATGACTTTCTTTCTGTGAAACCCAACCCTCTAACGGGAAATAAGAAAAAAAGAGGAAACTGAGTTAAAATCTCTCACCTGCATGGTAGGCCACTGATCCTCGGCTCCACCCCGGATGTCTGTTCTTGGGGTAGTCCTGCACAAACACAGACACACCGGTCACAATAGATATCTGCACCAGGTAGCTTCAGTGACTAACAGATAACAGATTAACAGACGAGCTAATGAACGGCACAAACAGCTTCACATCGACATAAACATATGTTTTTTTTGACAGTTGGAGTTTCAAGCGGTCAGAAAAACAGATAGATACACAGACTTTAAAGTAATAAAGGTAAAACAGACTCATGGGCTGAGTCTGTTAAACGAAGTCCTGCTGGCCTCATCACCTGCGGGCTAGGATAAGAATTTGCATCTCAGAACTTAAGAGCTACGGTTCTCATTTACAACAGAATGAAGTGCTCAAGGTTGGGAATAAATTGAGGCATTTGGGAGGAACTGACTGATGAACTGCACTGTCTGCAGTCATGACAAAGCTGTTGCAGTAAAGAGAGAGCTGGGCGTTAATTTAATGCTCCATCTATGTCCTTATCGCCAGTTGCAGCCACAAGCTCTGTGTAGCGACCAAAAAAATAAGATCACTGATACAAAAAGCGGAAATGAGCTTCCTCCAAAGGGTGTGCTCAGCCGGAGAGATTTGATGAGCAGATAGGTCATTCGGCAATCACTCAACAGTGAAAGGAGCCAGTTGATATTGTTAAGAATCTGACAAGGACGCCTCTTGGGTGCCTGCTAGGTTAGGTGTGTGGGTATTTCCAACCAGAAGGAGACCCTGGGGCAGACCCGGGACATGCTGGAAAGATCACATGTCTGGGCTGTCTTGGGAAGGCCTCGGTGCTGTGACACTCTGGTGATGTTTATTAAATGTTTACATTTAATGAACTTTTACTTTGTGTCAGCTCCAAACTAACAGACCACTTTCATGTATTTGCACAGCTCAAATACTTGAAAGACATTTAATTTTTTTGTAAAGTTAAGCTAACTTGTATGCAACAGCTTAAACCTTTGCTTAAGCTTTGACTACAAACTCTAGACCAGCGGTCTCCAACCTTTTTTGCGCCACAGACCGGTTTATGCCCGACAATATTTTCACGGACCGGCCTTTAAGGTGTCGCGGATAAATACAACAAAATAAAACTAGTACCGGTACCGAAAAAAAGAACATTTATTCATTACACATGTGAAAAGACCCAGGAAAACCGAACGATAAAAACAATAACAAAATAACGCTGAAAACCGATAAAAACCCTGAAAACCATACATTTCACACCTGAGCCTTAACTATCGCGGCCCGGTACCAAATGACTCACGGACCAGTACCGGTCCGAGGCCCGGGGGTTGGGGACCGCTGCTCTAGACTGTATAAAGTATGATTACCTACCTTGTAAACGTGACTCTAAAGTGGATCAGTTTTAAAGTCAAAATTTAAAATGGTTTATTTTTTAATATCCTAAAATTTCCAAACGTTTACATTACCAAGCAAAAAACAGATTTAATCTATCCATCTGGTAATTATCTATGAATTCTTAACTTGAAAATGTCAAACTGTCTCCGTTCTTTGAATTATTGCAGCTCACTTAACTCAAACAATGAAACTTCAGGGGGGGAAAAAACACCACTCGGTTTATAAGCAGCCGCTGATCAGTCACCACCTAGATACTGCTATCGCCACGGGCCAATGACAGAAATGCCTCCAGTGTCACTTATCCCCTCAGAGCTGAGAGGTTTGTTCAATAAGGGTTTGAGGTAAAACAGTGCGTACTTTATTTGCCATTTATGCTCCAGAAACTGCTTGACAAAATCATATTTTTTCAGACAGCAGAGACAATGAAAAACATTGGAAATATTGAAGAGTCCGGTTGTTCTCGACTGCATGAATGCTCTGCTGTTTTTGTGCGTAGCTGGGGCTGTTAGTCTGCGTCTTTGTCCGGCTTTTTTCATGCCTCATTACATTTAAAAACACTAAACATCATGTTGTGTTAAGTAAGACTTCAAAGTAACAAATGAGACTATAATTCAACAGGAAAGTGTGTGCAGAGGCCAAAGAGGAGCAGAACCAAGGGTTGTTTTCCCAATTCTACCCAACTGGACTTCTTTTTCAAGCTAGAAGAGTCGCCTCCTGCTGGTCATTAGAAAGAAGACGTGCTTAAGGACGGCGTCGTAAATGCAGAGTTTCCACTCGTCTATTTTTATATATCATCTATGGCATGAGCACATCAGAACTGGTATATGTTTCTCAAATAGGAGTTTTTAAATGGCATTCAGCCACAGCTTCACCGGCTCCATCCTGTGTCGAAACAGCAGCTCCACTCAGACTGAGCTGGATGTGAAGCTTCGTCTCTCACCAAGACAGAAAAAAAATGTCTGATTTCACTTTATAATAACAAGGTTAAAATGATTTAATAGGCTGCAAATCCTAGTTTTTTATGTCCGTTTATAATTCATTTATGCTAAACAGGCTGGCAGGTAGCGTGCACGTCACACACAGTGGCAGATTTAGATCTAGGCAGCTCTGCAAAGCCAGCCTTCAGATTTCCAGAGGAGTTTGAAATGGGTTCTTTATCCATGTTAACATGCTAATGGGTGTGAGGATCATCTGTTTTGGATACCTGTCAGCATCTGCTGAGGGGGTGTTGTGTTCTCTCGCTCTCTCTCTTTCCATCTGTCTGCATGTACAGTGTGTGCGCCTTTCTCCAGGTTTCACCATGCCAACGGTAATAACTATCAGGCCAACTTTTAGATAAGATCACAGAATGACTCAGAGGTAATTACTAAAGATTTTTATCTGTTTTCTAGGCTGCACATCCATTACTGTAGAAACACACTACTGAGCAAGAGAGAAAAGAGCCACAATGACATTATGGTTTTCTTTTATCTCTCAGTGGGCAACATCTTCTAAATGCTTACTTGTACATCCTCTCTTTTTCCCTAAAGTAAATTCTTCCCACTGCACTTCTTTTCATATAGTATTAGCACACAAAAGGCAACCTGAAGACCTTTCATTTTCATCTTGTCAAAGAAATCCAAATATGACGAGGATGACGTCCAGAAAAGAAAAACAAATCAGCCTTTAGCAAGACGCTGTGAAGGGAGCTGTGCTTTTATTCAAACATGCTCTGACTGATGACTGATGCAGACTGAATAGGTAATACATTACCCAAAGCAATATAAGCCAGATGAAATTATTACTATTAGCACCTGTGTGGGATGAGAGGTGAACAACGGGGACAGTGCAGACAGACAGCTTGGCCAGGACAGGCATTCGGAGGCCACGACATCAGGGAAACATCAACGATCCCATCTGACAACCCCATTGGGGCTGGAGGAACAGGAAATGGAGATGGATGGAGGGGGGGAAAGCGAGAGAAGACGAGAGTGAGACATCAGCAGAAGAAGAGAGAGACATGGAGGAATGCAGCTACCGCTCCAAGCCTGAAACCCCTTGATCCGCCAAGTCTGCTCCTCTTCCCCCTCGTCTCAACCACAAGCCTGAGGATTCCTCCAGCTGACTGGCATGTGGGTTCCCCGAGAAGGAAAGGAACGTCTGGGTGTTTTCTCCCTGATTGATGAGCCTGATCAGTGATTTCTAAAATAAGGCCCTATTAGGAACAGCTAAGCAAATAAGGGGAAGATTTAGAGTTTCTAATGTAAACCGCAGACATGTGTCTGATAACTGGATCAACCATTAAATGCTTGTTCTCATAGATGTCTTTGTGGTAATTGTTGTGTCCATCATTTCTAATTCAAAACATGTCCTCAGTGTATTCCATCCATCAAAATAAATATGGTGTCCCTTCCACAACCTACTGATTTAACTAACTCTGATTTAATAATGCCTATTGGCTAGACTACCACACATTTTATTCATCGATGAAAATTATCCGCACGGGATAAAAAAATTATACTTTTTAAGAGTAAAAAAGTCTCAACAGCTGTTGGATGGATTATCAGGGAATTCAATAAAGACATTTGTCATCTTTGTGAACTCAGGTGGCTCGACTGATCATAATTTGTTAGGTCAAAGATTTAATTAATCCAACACTTTGGTTTATAATCAAAAACCTTTGACATGTGGAAAAGTTTGCACATACACGTGCACAAAAAAAGCAACCTCAACTGATGTCATCCACATAGACTGCATATGAAAAATAGATGTAGCCACTGTGACATCATCCACTGGTTTCTGGACTTTGCATTGAAAGAGTGAAAGGTAAAGTTTACAAGATGCTAGTGAGGCTCACTGTGGTGTATGGTTTGGAGACAGTGACACTGGAGGTGCTAGGATGGACTGGATTAGAAATGAGCATATCAGTGTGGAGTGAAAGGTCTGCGGTGCCGCTGCAGGGGAGGCGGACGCACCTGAGCGGCATCTGCAATCACGCCTCGCCGGCTTAAAGTCTGAACTGGGTTCTGTCTGTCATTTAGGGGGGATTAGCTGGGGAATCCCATGATGCATTGAGTATTTCCTTTTCAGTCAACTTTCTCACTCAACATGTGTTAACAGACCTCTCCGCATTGAATCATACTTGTTATTAATCTCTGGCTCTATTCCACAGCATGTCTTTATCCTGTCTTCCGTCTCTCACCGCAACCGGTCGCACCAGATGGCCCCGCCCCTCCCTGAGCCTGGTTCATTATTGTAGGGTCTACCTTACAATATTCGGTCTTTAAGTGATGACATGATGAATCCTGCTTCCGGGCCCAAGCTACTCTGTGTTTAATAAGGCTTTTGTGTTTTTTACATGTTTTAATGCTTTGTATCTTGTTCTATTGAAAGCCCCTAAAAGCAGTCAGTGATCACTGTCAGCCTCTCTCAGTTTTTATTACCGCTAATCATTTTAAAGCAGTATATTGATAACTAACCTTGTATTGTGGATGGATTTTCTCAGTTGTTGTCCTGACTGAATTTCAGCCCGTTTACAGCATCCTGCAATGCGATTGCAATTGTACCGAACCTTCGGGAACCCTCACGTTAACTTTTATTGAGTGGAAAAAAGTTAGCGTTCATCCTCCAGCTTCACTGTTTATATTATGCTAACATAGCTAGGGCGATCGTGGCTCAAGAGTTGGCAGCTC